TAACTTTTATGCAATTAGAAATGAAAACTGGGGCCTGGGGATTTAGCTCAGCGGCAAAAGCGCCTGCCTGGCAAGCGCAAGGTCGTGAGTTCGGTTCCCGGTACCGGAGAAAAACAAAACAAAACAAACAAACAAAAAAAAGAAATGAAAACAGTGGCCAGAGTTGGTGTACTCCTGTAATCCCAGCACTTGGGAGGCTGAGACAGGAGGCTCACCACAAATTTGAGGCCAGCCTGAGCTACATAGGGAGACCCTGTCTCAAAATAAAAAAAAAAAAGTGAAATTACAATGGAGACCACTCAAAATTAGCAGGTTCTTCACAAACACATATACCAATCCATTGGAGAACTCAGAAGTCATGGTAAGATTCCTAGATATATATGAATTGCCAAAACTAAACCAAGAAGACTTAAAACCCTTGAACAATCCAGTAATGGGCAGTGAAATTGAAGCAGCAGTAAAAAAAGCCTACCAAGAAAAGCCCAGGACCTAATAGATTCACAGCCAAATTCTCCAAGAACTTCAGTGAAGTAATGCCAGTATCCCTCAAACTGTTTAATAAAATTGAGAGGAAAGGAATATTTCCAAACTCATTGTCAAAAGCTAACATAATCTTGATCCCAAAGCTAGACAAGGATCCACCCACAAAAAAAGAACTACAGGCCAATTCCTCTAATGAACATAGATGGAAAAATCCTTAACAAGATATTGGCAGAGTGTGACAAATCATCAAAAAGATCATACGCTGTGACCAAGTAGGCTTCATTCTAGGGATGCAAGGATGGTTCAACACATGCAAATCGAAGAATAAAACTGACCAACGTTAGGGCTTGTGTTGGTTTGGGGGTTATTGTGCAAGGGAGAACAATATAATACAGGATATATTTTATATGATTATTTTATAATAGTCACCCAAAGAATGATATACAAAAGAGTACAGGAAATCTGTCCCCACAACATAGACCAAGAATCCAGCTGAGTGCCTGGATCCCACGATAATGTCCTGCATGAGTCCAGCTTAAGACCTAGAGCACATAATAATGCCTCCCACAAACCCAACTGGAGGTCCAGAGCCCATAACAATATCTCACGCAGGCCTGTTTCACAGATCTGCACTGGGAGGGCCCAAAGGTCAGTGGTGGAATCCAGGAAGTCTGTGCCAGTGGGATGAAGGATCTGTGCTAGCAGACTGAGGGATCTACACTGGAGCCAGAAAGTGATGCTCAAACTAAGAACCAGACCTCCCTGAAAGGTACCAGAGCCATCCTCAGCAACAGTGAGGTCCCGAGCTGCTCTGATGATCAAAATGGCTGAGTTCCCATCAGGGACGCCAACACAGCAAGCTTCTTCAGGAGCCTGAGTTGTGCACCACCTTGCCCTCCAGAGCCAGGAAGTGATGCTCAGAGTGAGGACCAGAGCTCCCCCAAAGTGAACCGAAGCTGTTCTCAGTGCCAACAAGGTCCTCAGCTCCTCAAAGGATAAAAACAACCGAGTTCATCAGGAAAGCCAGCATGATGAGCTCCTCTGACAGTACCAACAGCTCCTTACAGCTTCCACCAGCTCCAACAGCCTTTGTCTCTCCCAACGGCCTCTTTAGTTCCCAAAAGCCGCCTTCTCCTTCTCTAGTTCTGCCTCTTATGCTGCTGGTAACAGTCCCCAGCTCCCTCCCCAGCTCTCAGTTCAGCTGGGAGTTACAAGTTGGCCACCAGTTATCAGTCCATTACAGGGCTTGTATCTCGATGTTCCTCCAAAACCTCGTGCACTCGTAGATGGGCCTTTCTGGAGCTGGCTGGATCTAGGGCATGTGATACTGGAATTAAGGTTGTGTGGTACTAAATTTGTCCACTGATTGGAATTAGCGTAGTTCTGGGTGTGGCTGAGTGGCTTTACTGACGATGGAAGCCGTGGATGGCAACACTCAAGAGTCTTGTAGCCTGGATGGAGTAAAAGGGAAAGGGAGGCTAAGTGCTGCTGCCAGCATACTGCATTCCTGCTTCCTGTGCCATGGAGTGCTTCTCCTCAGCCATTCCTCTCTGCTGTGCCACCGCGCCTCAGAGCCCCGACTATGAACTAAAACACCTACATACTGTGAGCTAAAGTAAACCTCTCCTCCATTAACTTATTGGTGTTAGGTATTTTGTCCCAGCAATGAGAAAGTAACTAAGACAACCACATAAACAGCAGCAAGAACAGAAATCACATGATCATCTCCGTAGCTGCAGAAAAAGCCTTTGATAAAAGCTAACACCTATCGTGATAAAATCCCTGAAGAAAATAGGCATAAAAGGTCTGTATCTCAACAGGACAAAAGCCATTTATGACCAACCTACTGCCAGTATCGTATTAAATGGGGAAAAGCTGAAAGCCTCCCTCTCAAATCAGGAACAACACAAGGATATCTTTTATCACTACTGCTGTTCAACAAATCCTCGAAACATTAGCCCAAAAAATCAGGTCAGGGAAAGAAATAAAAGGGACACATATAGGAAAGGGTGAAAAATATCATTACTTGCAGATGATACATACAAGACCCAAAAAATTCCACCAAAAGATCTCTAGAATTGATAATCAAATTCAGCAGCATACCAGAATATAAAATAAACACACAAAAATCAATAGCATTCCTATACACTCACTGAAAAAGCAATTAGGAAAACAATACCATTCACAATAGCATCAAAAAAATTAAGCACTTAGGTAGTAATCTAAGGAAGTGAAAGGTCTCTACAAAAAAAATTACACAGACTGAAGAAGAAAATCAAAATTGAAAAATATCCATTGTTCCTGATTATCCCCAACATAATCAAATGGTTATATTTCCAAAACTGATACACAAATTTAATGCAATCCCAGTCAAAATTGTTGTGTCTCACAACAGGCCTGAAATTTAAATGGAATCAGAAGAATCTTAGAAGAGCAAAAGCTATCCCACATGGCAAATGCAAAGCAAGTGGCATCATAATCCCAGACTTAAAGTTATACTATAAAGTTACAGTGATTAAAAGAGCATGGTACTGGCACAAAAAAGGCGTGTGGATCAGTGGAACAGATTAAAAGAAGCAGAAATAACCCAGGCACAAATAGCTATTTGGTCTTTGACAAAAGACTCAAAAGCATGCACTAAAAAAAAGGTAGCCTCTTTAATGAAGTGGTGGTGGGGAAATGGGATATCTGCATGCAGAAGATTAAATCTGGAACCATATTTCTCACCATGGACTGAACTAAAATCAAAGTGGATCAATGAACACTAAATGCTAAAACAGAAACACTTAATCTGCTGGAAGATAAAACAGGTACAACTCTTGAAGACATAGGTGTAGGCAGGTCCTTTCTGAAGAGAACCCTCATAGTACAACAGATAATACCAACCATCAGCATATGGGATCGTATCACATTTAAACGCTTCTACATAGCACAGGAAACAGCCAACAGAATGAAGAGACGATCTACAGAACGAGACTAAATTTTTGCTTATTATTCCTCAGACACAAGGTTAGTATCAACAATATATAAAGAACTAAAAAAATTTAGACTACCTCCAAATAAAAGATCCAATCAAAAACTGGGCAACAAAATGAATAAACACTTCTCAGAAGAAGTACAAATGGCCAACAAATAAAAAATGCTCTTCATTGCTGGTCATTAGAGAAATGCAAATTAAAACTACACTGAGATAACATCTTACCTCAGGAACGGTGGTTATCATCAAAACAATTAAAAATAACAAATGCTGGAGAAGTTGTGGGCAAAAAGGAACTCTACTGTATTGTAAGCTAGTACAACCAGTATGGAAATCAGTATGAACATTCCACAAAAAACTAAAACTATAAATTCCCTTTGGCCCAGCTATGGCCCTTGTAGGTATCTTCCCAACAGCATTAAAATCATGTTACAGGAATACATACATACCCATGTTTATGGCAGCACGATTTTTTTTTTTTCCAGTACCGGGAATCGAACTCACAACCTTGCACTTGCCAAGCAGGCGCTGTACCACTGAGCTAAATCCCCAGCCCCAGGCAGCACGATTTATAATAGCTAGATCTTGGAAGCAGTGTATATGTCCATCAACAAATGAATGGATAAGGGAAATGTGGAGTTTATACACAGTGGAGTAGTATACTACACTACCGTGAAGATAAACTATAGAGATTTGTAGGTTAGTGGGTGCAACTTGTGAACATAATGTATGTATACATATATATGCACACATACATATCTACATATATTTGCACTCAAGGAACAGAAGAGAGATAAATAGGAGGTAAAGTTCAAATACTCTGCAAATTACAGCTTCCATTGTTTTAAAAACATTTCTATATATATGCTAATTTGTTTCATTTATACTAAAAGTTTAAGTTCATTGATAAGAAATTTCATATTACCTTTTCATTTCTTTTTTGCAAGAATCTTTTGGGTTTATATCTTGTACTGAGCGATTGCTTTGATGATAACAATACCCAATGTAATAACTATTTTATTCCCATTTGGTTAGGAAAGTGGTTTTTCTTTTTCATAAATGAACTTACTGTCTTACTACTTTGAAAGTGTTCTCTTGAAATTGTAGTCAGTCAAGTTGTTATTTTGGACAGGGAGAATTAATTCCTCCTCTATTTTCTAGCTTAGCATTTTGGGACTCACAGCGCAAAATTCCTTTGTGAGGGAGACTGGATGCTGGAGTTCACCTTTCATGCCTTTAGTCCTGCATATCAGCTTCCAAGCAAACATGATGCTTCGCCAGTTTACTTTCTGTCTTTCTAGTAAAGTCTGGTATTGATTATGGAGGCGCCCCCAGCCTGCGGAAACCATCAGCGCAGACCTCCTGGTATTGGAGAGGGCCACACATGCGAAGATGTTTATTACTTTAGAAACACACCAGCTTCTTATTATGCTGTACATACCCCCCATTTCTAGTCACCAGGCTTTGGAAATATAAATAATTTAGAAACAAGTTTCTGTTATGTTTTTAAATATTCTTCTTAATTTCTTCTTAATTACAGAGCAAAGAAATTGCATTCCAACTTCATGAGGATTTAATGAAGGTTCTTAATGAGCTTTACACGGTAAGCACATAATCCTTCTTCTTTTGCATGGATTTTTGGTTCACATTTCCGGTTTGTGGAAACACTGCTTGCGGCAGCTTTCCTTCACTGTGACAAAACACGGGCGCTTGAAGGAGGAGAAACCTATTCGGCTGTGGTGTCAGAGGTTTCAGTTTAGTTGACCTCCCGGCTCCGGGCTAATGGTGGGGCAGAACGTCATGGCCGGGAGCACGTAAGCACTGAGCGTCACACTTCGCCGTGGTCAGGAAGCAGAACAGAGAGCTGGCTTCTACAGAGCTCCTCTCCTAAGACTCGTGGTGCTAGGAATCCGTAAGTAGATAAAGCCAGTCGTGAGCCCAGTGCCCCCATAACCCAGCCATCTCTCAGGTGCCCCTCTTCTGAGCATCGCACTCAGGGGGCCAGACCTCCCACACACGAGCTTCCAGGGGGATATTTAAGAACCAAACATTAGGGCCTGAGATACAGCTCAGCGGCACAAGCACCTGCCTGGCAAGCGTAAGGCCCTGAGTTTGATTCCTGGTACCAAAACAGGAAAAAACAGAACCAAATATTAATACTCCTCAGTTTAGAACTTGCGCCAAGCCAGAGCATCACTAGATGAGATAGCTGGTTTATGTATTTGCAGTTCAGAACCAATTAGATGAATGTATACTACTGTATTTCCTTGCTGCTTCCTCCTCATTAGGAGAGACCTTTTAGAGTGTGTGTGTGTGTGTGTGTGTGTAGAAGCACCCTTTAAGAAACTATAGTACAGAGACTTCAATAAAACGTGTTTTTAACTGGTCACATCATATGGAGTCTTTATGTATGTTTAATTCCAGAATATTTTGTTTTAAACTATTGTCACTCTGGGACTTTAGAGCAATTTAGAGTCACTTCATTTTGTGTGTTTTAATTTCTTTGGGGGCGGGCATTTTAGTCCAATTGCTTGGCTAATGATGTATTAAATTAAATTTACATTTTTGTGATTTCCTTTTTCTTCCTTGTAATAACTTACTTTCTGTAACTTACATTCTATTTTGGGTATTGGTTCTGATCACTAGAAATTAAATACTGTTAAATGCCTTTATTTAAAAAGAGCCGATACCAGTGAAGTTACAAGTAGGAATTAATGACCATATTTTTAAATAAAAATTCTTTTTTGAAGTTTTTAAGCAGTTTCTATTTCAAAAGAGAATAAAATAACAGTGAGAAATGAATATTACTAATTTGTACTGATGATAAATACTTTCATTGTGCAAGGTCATTCAAATTTTTATTTACAGGAAAATTAAACCCAGAACTTATTGTTGAAATATGATTGATGGTTTATAGGTTCCATTTGTTCTTTAAAAAGCCATATGTGTACAACATAATTCAGTGAGTTACATTTTTAATGCCCCATTGACACTTGTTAGTTAAAAGAACCTATCAATTAAAGTTATATAAAATGAGTGACATTTCTGTAAAATGAGCTTTGAAATTTTTTGTGTGTATGATAAATCTGCATTTTACAGACATATTTGCTACAGCTGTATTTATGAATTGATTTGACAGTTTCTATGTGTTAATTTCTCCTTCAGGAATTTTTCGTGGGGGCTGGGGATTTAGCTCAGCGGCAAAGCACCTGCCTGGCAAGCGCAAGGTCATGAGTTCGGTTCCCGGTACCGGAGAAAAACCAAAAACAAAAAAAAAAAGAAATTTTTCATTTTATGTGCAGCGTACAAAAGCCACGTGTTTTAAGGCAGACGGTTGTACCAAATACCTAACTCTACTAAAATTGAGTTTTCAGTTATAAGGGCCAATTACCTGCCTATACTTCATGTGACTTGAAAATGTCTGATAACCCAAGACATCAGCCATTTGTAGAAGCCTCGTAATTTAAAAGTTAATTGAGCATTGTGCCTCTGAGACTTCTAAAGAAGAAGAGGCAGAAGTTCTGTGTCCTCTTGTAGGGGACTATTTTAAACGAAGACCTCTTGGAACTTTCCTTGTGGTTCTCTTTGCTTGGGCACTGTTTTGCCTAAAATAAAACTCGTCCCTAATGCTTTAAAAAGCAGGTCTGCTGGTAGTTAAAGCGTCGTGGATGGAAACGTGTTGATGATGCCCTGAACTAAGTGTGCAATCAGAATAGCGGCAGCCAAGGCAAGCTTCATCTTCAGATGCAAGAGAAGTCAGGAGGATGGCATTAGATTTGTGTCTCGGTGAAGGCTATGTGCAGTGACATTTCTCCTAGGTACATCTATTAACTGTACTTAGACATGTAGCAGATTCTGCACCATTGGATCGAGCCAGCTGACACATTCTCAAAGCTCTCACCAACATCAGTGTGAAAGCCTGAGAGAGCTGGAATGTGGGAAAGGTTACCGGAGTGTGAGTGAGCTTGTCAGTCCTTTAACCTCTCAGAATCAGTGGAGGAGTTAAGGGATAGAGGAGACAGGCAATGAGGTTTTAATTATGTCATCTGTAGATCACTCTGTGCTCCTGGGAAAAGTTTTTACTTGAACCAGAAAGCATGCCCGGCCCAGTCCGGGTTCGTAATCCGTAGGGAGAGGACTTCTGACCCCTTTCCTACCCCTGCCCCCTCTCGTGAATGCAAGTACGTTCTGCTGTTCCAGAAGGAGGTGGCGTTTGGTCTCCTTATACTTCGTGTTCACATACACAAATTCTGTCTGGTTCACATGAAATCAATGCCGCATACATAGTTTATAGCTGGGAGTGTAGTTCACCGTGGCAGAGCTGGGGGCTCGCACATGCAAGATCACGGGCTCAGTCCTGGGCACCCAGAACAAACCAGACTGCACCCAGTTTACACTACAAAAGAGTAAGGAAGAGGTGTGTTTGAACCGGGGACCAGGAGTTGAGGAAATTTGACTTAGGACAGTGATGGCAGAGCTTTTAACGATACAAACAGCCTGCTGCGGTGCACGTGTCATAGTTTCATCTCCGCTGGTTGAGGAGAGTGGTTTATGTTCCTTAAGCAACCACCGACTGGTACTTTGGTTATAAATGAATGCTCTTCTCATTGCATTGTGCTCAGAATTTTGTGCCATAGAGTAAACAGTTTACTAATAGAGTTGTGAATGCTAAAACAGCAGACATAAATTAGATAACCTCACATAACTGAGGATGCTGCTTACTTGCCTCCTCACACTCATTCATTCTTAATCTTTGAAATTCATTAGGAGTTGAAGGTGAACATTTCAGAAGTATAGCAACTTCTTTATACCAGTGGGATATTTCGTTAAATTACCATCAACCTTAGCAAAAGGTGAGACTCTGGTTCGTGGACTTTAAAATAGGTCATCGTAAATGTAGTTTCCACAGCAGTTGTTGATATTCCTAATATCCCATCAGAAGGCTTTGTCCCAGTAAGATACAAGTGCCCAGGAAGATGACAAGATAGAAACGCTTTATGATTATTTATCCTTGGAGTGATCGGAATCTTATCCATCCAGGTGGTGTGCGTGATGTGGGAGCTCTTGTGTGATGACATGACAGATGGGTGCTGTGATAGAGTACACGATACAAAACTGACAGAGCGTGAAGCCCTGGACAATGCAGGAGAGGATGGTGGTATCAGAGTGGACTTCTGGAAAGGCGAGGAAAAGCTTTAAAGATGTGCAGCTCCTCTTCTGTCTTTTTGCCCTTTTATTTGTGAAAAACAAAGCCTCAGAAGGAGTTCAAGCCTCCCTTTGGATATTTAGAACACCATGAGAGACAGCCTGCAGTTAAGATTAGTTTGACCATGAATTACAGAGGTAGCCGAAGTAAGGCATGAATAAGTTACAAGTTTATATTCTCTCACACGTAAGAGAGGTGCAAACTGTGGCACCCCGGTGCTGGTACTTAGATTACATAAAACTCTTCAAGGACCAGGATCCTCCCTATACGCTGGTCAGAGAACCCCAGTTGCAACATTTGTCCTTACAGTTCCAGGTAGTTATAAAGCCTCAGCCGTTACCTATGCATTCCTAGAAACAGAATAACGGAAAGGAACATGGGCAGGCCCCTTGCCTTTCAAGGAGACCGGCTGCAAATCTTACATTACACTTTCAGATACGCTTCGTTGGCCCAGACTTACACCATGACCCCAGAGGGCCCCAGAGAGGTCTGGTAGTGAGTCTTTTGGTTAGCAAGCTCATTGCTAAGCATTTTTAAAAATGCAGATCCTATTCATTAAAAGAAGAGTTATTTATACATAACTAGCCACGGTTGCGGGAGGAGCTAACGTGTATTGCGTGCTTACCATACACGTGCTAGTTACCGGCTCAGCGCACTCCTTGCATTATCCCAAGTAATGCAGCGTCACCCTGAGGTGGTTGCTGTCATTATCTTCACCCAACAGCCAAGGAACCTAAGGGTTCAGAGGGACTTACCCAAGGCTGCACAGCTCATGGGAAAGGGCGATCCCAGGTCTAGTTCCGGCTGCAGACCCCATGTCCTTTACTGTCGTCTTATCTCCCTCACTATGGTTTTGGGGATGCATTTTCCAAGTAAGATCTCTGAATGTTACTGCCACCCCCACAACGCAGAGAAATCAAGCATCTTATCACCTGTTCACTTCCATTTTTTAGAATCAATGGCATTACTGTTGCTTTAACAGAAATGTAAGTGAAAGCTTGAGCATGTGGCACGGTGGCAACCTGTACTTCATAGAAATGATAATTTAAATATGTAACAGATGGGCTTGTTGGGCTAGAAAGTGAGAGAATAAACCAAGACCCACAGAAGGATCCCTTGCTGAGTCTAGTATGCGCATTCACTTCCTTTGGAGGTGAGCGTTGGAAAGAGAGCTAAAGGATGAGCAAGTTAGAGAGTGGGATTGAGAAACCAGGGCAAGTGTTATGCTGCAACGAAGCAAGAACAACTGGACTGGCAGTCAGCAGACTTGCATTTGAATCTCAATTTCAGCAGTTTATGGCCCGGAAAAGTTATTTAGCCTCTCTGTTTGTCTGTGTTCACCATAGCAACAGAACTAAGGTGTGTGTACAAAGTAGTTTATTATAAGGAGTTGGCTT